ATCTGCACAAGCACCACGAGAAGAAGCACCACAAGCATCATTAGCAAGTGCATCGAATCAAAAACCCGATCCCATGTTGATAGGAAATTTAATTGACTGATTCCTTTCTCCCGTTCTGGTGTATTTTATCACCCTTGAAACTTTACTGTACATAACTTTCTATAATAAATTATTTTCTAATTATCATGTAAATACTGGCATGTCAAAACAATTTGAGAAACAAACAACCAATCTCACTATAGACTACTTTACAATGCCATAGCAAAGTGGCACTTTTGCGGCTCCAGCGAACAATATATGTTTCGCATAACGCTACTATGAACAATCCTCTACACTTCAACAATTGAATATTCGACATTTATTTTCATTTGCAAGTAAGGATGACGACTGAATCAAGATTATACGCAGTATAAATAAGCTACTGCTGTGCAAAAAGCACATTTCACCGAACAACATTCAAACGAGCAATCGACTGGAGTTCAAACAACATTACACATTGAAACAACGACGTAACGGACGCTAATTCAATCACAAAAACGATTCGTTTTTCAGGTATGCAGGTACTGTACTGTACACCCTGAACGTAAATAGGATAAAATAGTCTAAATGGGGGCGGGGACACAGGAGTATATATGACATGATTAGAGGCTGATTCTCATCATGTGCATGAGGACAAGGTCTCGTGTTAAATGATAACAGCACAGTGATCTATGGAATTGAGTGTGAGCGAAGACAAACAAGTAACAGTAACAAAACATCCGAGCTAACAATAAATATAACCTATAGTTATCAGGCAAAGCCGAAGAGACTATTTGCGTACACCATCGGCGGCACCATAGGATGAGGCACTGCCTCGAATGAGGTAAACTTGGGCTAAAATCAACAAAATCATATACATCACAGAGAAGCAAGAAGTAAATGACACTCACCGTCAAATTATCTCCTGTTATCGTTATGAACGCGCCTTTGTTTCCCATTTGATCACAGTAGTTAGGCGCAGAGAAAACCTCAACACAAAAGGTGACTAGCGGCACGAAAACGAAAACAAGAAATGTGATGAGTACTCACCGTGATGCATTTTCCACTATGATGGACTTCATATCCCTCAGGCTTCACCTCATGACTCCTAAATTGGTAGAAACTGAACGAAGAGCCAGTAATTCGATTATTCTTACCTGATGACATATTGTACACCATTTTTTGACAACCATGCGTCAGTGATGTCAGGGCCAAACTGACAGCCAACACCACGCTTTGATGGTGCACGTCCTCGTAGATCTTGTGGGTCAGACCTTAAAGGTAAAAATTTGAAATGA